TATTTTGGAGTTTGTTTTTTGCCTGGTGTGCTGTGTAATACTTGCAATAATGATGATCAATGTGCTGGCTGGTGTAGATATGAGACAGAAGATTTATATCAGGATCAATATCAGTGTGCATGGAAATGCAGAGGGATCACGATACAATAAGACAAGCAATTATAGAAACAGTTAAATACTAAATTTGCTGTAAAAACAAAGTAATAATAGCAAAAAACAAGAATAGAAGCAAATACACACAAAATAGTAACAAGTTAGAAGTAAAATAAAGATCCAATAGATAGCCAGGAAGGACACAGAAGTTAGATAAAAGAAAAAACAAAAAATTAGTAAAGATTGACAATATAAATGTAAAATAAAAAAAAAATAATAATCATAAAGTAAAATGATCTTAAAGATAATTAGCTTAGTAATGGTTAGTTAAAATCCTATAATTAGTATGAACCTAAGAAAACAAAGTGAGCTCAAATAGATAATTCCAATAAAATGACACATAAATCTAAGTAAATCTAGAAATTTACTCTTATATAAATCTAAGTGTAAAAATAAACAGGGTGAGATTATATTTATACTATACAAATAATTTAACTTAGTTTTGATCCATTTCTTTGACACTACATTTATTAAATTCAATGACATATTGATACTCTCGTTTTCATCTAATCTGTTGATCTGTGTGAAATGATTTGTATACCTTAATTTTGGATAGATCACATGGTACACAAGATGGTTCACCAACCAAGTTTTAAAACCTACTTAACCATACACAAACTAACCAAAGAACCCCCAAAAGAGCTTGAACTACACACCCTAACCTATCGATACACTGTACTGTATATGGTTTTGACAACTGTCTTGTGTATGATTTTACCCACTTGTTTTATTTTTAGCTAACACAGGTACAGCAATTCCATTATTTGCACTCTTATCTTTGATTAATTCCATCCAGGTCCCTGCTGGAACATGATTAGTTTTAGTTGACATGGCTAACTGCCACTTTATCCCAATTTTTTATACATTACCTAATGAATGTAACTACAGTACTACTAAGTCAAATAAATATACGATTATGCCTATGATGTTTATATATATACTGAGAATATCATTAAGTATTTGTATATCAAGGTAATCAGGAAGTATATTATGTTTAAAGGTGGGTAATAGCATTACTTGATTATCACACCTTTTTCAAATCTTTTATTGTCAGTATAGCTATATGTTTTACATAATGATTGATTTAACACACTTTAAACTACTCACAGGTTATATCAACACATATAAACACATGAATGCAAAGCACATACAGCATATACTCCATCTGTAATTTGTTAATTTCTAAATACAATTAACTGTGACCACCACTTTTCATTGGTTACTGTCAGGTGCGATCTAATGCAAGAACTGCATACCAAAGAATACTGTATTGCCAAAACAATGAGCTGTATATGAAGTTTACATAGATTAACATTCAGACTATATAAGAATATACACACGTCAACAACTAGACAAAGAGTCTAGTAGCAATATGTACATCACACAATTAACTAGCCTTTCATTATTATAAGTAGAAAGCATTAAACCAGTATGATTATAGAGCACTTTGGAAGGAATATAAGGCTAAGGAGACAAGGATTTGAGAATACAGTAAAGGAACAGTATCCAACCACTTCGACTATTGGGGAGCGAAGGCTAACCCTGCAAGAAGTCAGGGACACTGCCGTAATGATCAAAGTGCTTGGGCAAATGCGCGCACAATAATGGATAGGAAAATAATTTAAGGATAACTTCAGTAACTTTCATTATAGTGATTTTAATAATTACACCTGGAGGAAAGTAACGGGTAAAAAGTTAAGATGCATTTTACAGTTTGACACCAATGATAAATTATGAAACATTATACAGGTATTGCATATGATGAGAAAACCTGAACTCAAAGGAAATATGGCATACATGTACTTAAATTTGTAATTAAGATGGCCAGGATTTGCCTACCATTCACATATCCATTTAAGAGCCTTCACATCCTTCCTCAAGCATGGTGACTGTGTTTATTTAACAATTTGAGCTCCAAATGTGCCACAAGATTATCCATGACCATAATAAATTTGGGTCAAGGACCTCGCATCACTACAAAGCTTGTAATCTAATAAATATAGACTAATTCATCATTATTGAAGGAAAGAAGTACTGTACAGGGTTTATATATGGACATGTGAATGCTTAACGAATCCTGTCAATGGTCATTCAAGCTTTTATAGTATACAGTACAATACATGCACAAGTTTAAGTTAGTGTGTTTGATTTGCATAAGGAATTTTTTTGCAATGTGGTAATACAATAAAATATAGCACTGTGATGATTTCAGAGAAGAAAGATTAATGTACATCACTTGGTATCACATCCTGAGTACAGTACAACCTTAAATGTTACATTTGACAGATAAGCCTTAAAGTTTTGTACAATACGTTTCTTAAAATTACAGACATTCTTAAACAAAAATATTTTATTTGATTATAAAATGAACATTCTATTTTATTGTACTTTACATAGAAACATTGATGGCCCTCCATTCTTAATGTCCAAGATTGGCATAGATATCACCATCTTTGTTGACCTTAACATAATTTCTTGATGGTTTAATGTGTATAGCATATCTAATATGGTGCTATCAGTGCTCATTACCATATCTTGAGGTTATCTTGAGATGATTTCGGGGCTTTAGTGTCCCCGCGGCCCGGTCCTCGACCAGGCCTCCACCCCCAGGAAGCAGCCCGTGACAGCTGACTAACACCCAGGTATCTATTTTACTGCTAGGTAACAGGGGTATAGGGTGAAAGAAACTCTGTCCATTGTTTCTTGCCGGTGCCTGGGATCGAACCCAGGACCACAGGATCACAAGTCCAGTGTGCTGTTCGCTTGGCCGACCGGCTCCTAGAGCCGGTCGACCATGGCTAGAGCATGCATATCAGGAAAATCTTATAGGGCAAATGGAAAATTTATATATAATTTTGGCACATATACATTGCATAATCACACTATTTACACTACATTTCGGTATATGCGCAATTATCCCTAAACACTTGGACAGTTAACTTCAATACAGCAATGTACTATATTTACAAAGTTTATAATGCCACAACTTGAGAGAGAAGCTTAACAAGATTACAAACATTTTTGTACACTTACATGGGATAAATTTTTGTAAAGAATGAAATGTAATAAAATGGTAACACAGAAAATGGCATAGTAAGAGAAATAATGAATAAACTGAAAATTTTGGTAGAAAATAGCAATGAAGATAATTATTATTAACAAGTACAGTATTTCAGGAGGAAGTAAACAAAGACTATTCAGAGAACATACAAAATACTTAGGCTTTTCTACATATGGGGATAATTTAAAAAAAGAAAAACAACTTAGCCCATAAAAAATGGTTAATGTAATAACTAACTCATCAAGATTGTAACTTGCTTAGCTAAATGAACTGTGGGGTTCAGTCCCTGAGCCCATTATGTGCCTCTGTAACCCTTTCCACTACTGCCCACAAGATGGGTATGGGGTGCATAATAAATGAACTAAACTAAACTTAATCCTTCTGCTAGTGAGGTTATTATTTCCCAACTTTAGTCCATATCACCTGGTTTTTGAACAAATGATGTTAATATGGTTATGTAATGGCATTAACCTAGACCCACAAAACATTCTGCTATCATTTTGCAATGGCTTATTATGCAATGAGATTATCATGGACTAGTGGCGTGTGATTATCATCTATCTCAATTTCCTCTTTCCTGCCAATGTTTTCAATTTATTCCTGAAAGACATTCCTAAATAGAGCAGCAGCAATGGAGTGTGTTGCAAGACACTTCCTATAAGCTATACCAGGAATAGGTTTGTGTGCAATATAGGTATAGGGCTAACAACACTACAAACCAGATATAATAGGGCAGATCTCACTGAAACTTTTAAAAATACTGAACAATTTGGAGGATGTTGATCCAGACAACTTCTTCAAAAGGTCAGATGTAACACAAACAAGGAGCAACAGTTTCAAGCTCAACAAGCCACAATGAAGGACTGAAAACAGGAGATGCCTTTTCACCCATAGGATTATAAACCCATGAAACTACCTACCTCTCAAAGCCATAAATGCCAAAACATTTAAATTATAAAATCCAGCTGGAAAAAATCATCAGGGCAAATGGGAAAACCTTTGGCAAGCCACTGTTAGTGGCCCTCAGGTATATTCAGGTGTAAATATTACATCATAAGCCTCTATCACCATTTATTATCTATTGTGTAGTACAGCTGGTTTCATTCTGGATACATAATTAGGGATCCTAGGTTCAATTCCCTGACAGAACAGAAATGATAGAGCACATCTCCTTTAACCTAACGGACCTGTTCACCTAGCAGTAAATAGATACCTGGGTTTAGGCAGCTATGGTGGGGTTAAAGCTTGAGGAGGGCAGGGAGGGAACCAAATATAAGCCTGAAGTATATACAGTATATACACAAGTTTTCTGTCCCGGACAAAATGTATTAATGTGTTCAATAACTACAATTATTATAACTATGTAAACTAAAGTGAGGCAATAAACATAAACCATCCAACTTGAAGAAGAGTTCCTTATCCACAACACACTAATCGGCAAACTGTCTCTCTTGTGTCCATGGACCCAGCTTCTCCCACCTCACTGCATTCTACTGTGCGCCAAACCAGAAAACTTAAAAAAGTTGCCTTTTGCCTCCTTTTTGTGCACAGATCACGAGATACTTTTGATGATATCTGCATTTAGAGGGTTGGGAGGTAATGGATTAAATTTGTACTCAGTAATGTACAATGGATATTTCAAAGTCAAAATCTAAAACAAAATTATTACAAACTGAATTTTAGATACCTGAATTGACAATTATATTATTAGAATCAAAGCTACTTCATGACTAGGAATATATACAGTATCATACAATTTTTGGAATGCCACTTAATCAAAGCTATATTGTATTAAAGATGCACAACAATTTATTCATTACAGTACATTCAAAACCACAAGTGTCCATTAAATTCAAAACAAACATGTTAAAATATAGTTTATAACTCAAGTCTATAAAATGACACTGGTGTTATGCAGAAAAAAATTTTCATCGAGAGCTTGGATCCAAACTAGATTCTACACTGTGCACTTTTATATAGTACAGTACAGTATAAACCAGTCGTGAAAGTTCAATCCCATTGAACTGTTTCAATACTTTCTTGCAGATAGGTCACTTAATTGTGATTTCATTGTATGCCTCACTATTTAGTCAATTGATTGTTGAAGCACTATTTATGATGACAAAATGTAAACATGTAACTGTGTTTCTATCATACCTAAACTATTTTCTATTATATCTGTTCAGTATATGTATATATTTTGCATACACTTTCTCCAGGCAACCTTCCTTGATAGAAGAGATGATGACAAAGGGAAATCTTCCTTGGTCATTTAAAATACTGGACCTTTCAAGTTTTTAAAATTAATAAAAGCTTGTGAACCCTTTCCCATTAGCATTCTCCATGTTGGTTTGACTTGCATCAATGGAGTGCTTGTCCCATTCTTACACAAGGAAGCAAAATGGGCATAAAATGAGGAACTGTCCTTAGTAAGATAATAGAACATATGAGGCAACAAGAAAAGGCAGAAAAGTTAAAATACAAAAAAATTAAAAATGCCAAAGGCAAAAGGCACAAGGAAAAAACAATAAAAACTACTGAAGGATCAATAGTACTCAAAGCACAAGGGATGAGTTACAAATCCGCTTTTCCCCAACAGAAATACTAAATAGTACTGAAACGAGCCAACCAAAGTCAACCACCAATTTTTGTCCAGTCATTAAAAAAAAAATTAATCAAAACATTTATTTCAAATAAAAACATAGCTCCCTGGCATTTTCAAAATTATAAATTTAAATAGTCTCTGTAACATAGAGCATAGGGGCATAACTGGCCGACCCCTCACAGTGTTCAAGAGAGAACTGGATAAGCACCTTCAAAGGATACCTGATCAACCAGGCTGTGACTCATACGTCAGGCTGCGAGCAGCCGCGTCCAACAGCCTGGTTGATCAGTCTGGCAACCAGGAGGCCTGGTCGACGAACGGGCCGCGGGGACGCTAAGCCCCGGAAGCACCTCAAGGTAACCTCAAGGTAAGGTAACCCTATTATTCTACTCTTGCTGATTCACATTTATTAAGCTGCTCGAAGTTCCATGGGGGTTACAGCCTCACTCCTCCTCCCCGACTTAAGATTTCTATTACATCTTGAATTCTTTTGGATAGCATCTGATGGTTAGCATTTTCTCTTTTCTTTTTCGAATTCAGAAACTTGACAATAAATATTCTGAGGCTTTGGCGAAGGATTTGGAGTTTGGGAGATGCACAAAGAACAGAGAAGATGCGTTCCACCGCATCTGCACCAGTCGGGTGGAGGAGAACGGCAATTAAAGTTTGTCTCAAAAAGCTAATCATTTGACTTTCAACTTCCATGAAAGATACATTTTTTAATACTGATAAACTTACACTATCCTCCCCTATTAAATGAGAGGTAAATTTGGCTAAATTTGCAACTTCTCTTGGTTTCATAGATTCAATTTCTGAAAACTTATCCCAAAGGGCAAATTGTAAAAGTCTTTTATACTTCTTGTCAAATTTGCACATTCTGTCCCCAAGATGGGCAAAGAATGGGTTATATTCTTTACTCTTCTGAGAGCACAGTAATATGACACTAAAGAGTTCTCGTTCTTGTTGATGAGGTAGGCTCAGCTGAAGTAGTTTCTCAAATGCATCAAGATAATCTTCCGAACCTTCAGTGATAATGTACAGTATGTTTATTCTAGGAGGGCGTGACAGCTGGAGTTTGGCAGCCTTCTCCTTGAACTGTTCACTGAATTCACTTTCCAAGCCAATGTTTTGACTTACATTTTTGAGAGACTTGTGATCTGGAGGTGGCTTTTCTCCAGGCAAATCTCCAGACCAAGCAGAACCCACAATCCACCAACGCCCGCACTCTCGGGCCTTTAAAAGATCTTCCAGGGATACATTAAGGGCTGCTGCTTGGGTTCCCTTCCGTACCAGCCCTCTAAGGACCTTTTTAAGATGCTCAACATGTGAAGGGTCATAGTTGGGGACCTTAGCCATGTTGTTGTTTCGAATAGCCTTTAACACCTCCAACATAAAGCACACCCGTGAGTATCCTGAACTTTCTTCACTGTCGGCTTCATTTATTTCTTGTGCTGCAGACGCGCGAGTTTGAATTTTGGTAATGAGAGACTTTAGGGCCAGAGGGTCATCTTTTCGTAGTGTAAATCCCACACTGCGAAGCACCAGCAAAATGAGCTCCACCTGAAAATGATTTTATAACATTAAACAAAACTCTAAAAATCTACAAAATGAAGTCCATGCATATAATCTGTATAATATTTCATTACAGTCGACTTCCAATAATACATGCCTACATACTATGCAATTTATTCCACTTGGTAAAACAAGTAAATTTCATACATATTTCAAACATTCAATACCACACCATTGAAGCATATGGATATTAATGTACATTTAACTAAATTACTGTACAGTACAGTATATACTATACTACTATTGAAAATGCCCGAAATTAACAAATATGGGCCACCCTGTAGTTATTTATATATGTATATACAGTATATGTATATGAGCCTGGAACAATGTCCCATAAGTCTACAACCAACCCTCTTGACACCATTGGATACCTCATCTGCATTTGAGTATCAATTATGTTACTCAGCATTATGAAAACATTCTGTGCATAAAATAATATACTGTAGACACGCGTTAATCCGGAATCCGACCATCCGGAAAACGCCCTTATCCGGCCAAAATCATGACCGGATAAAGTTATCTCACCATCCGGCCAAAATGTTCATGGGAGCTGGACCGGCAGGTGTTTGGCCGGATGAAAAATCTGAGCCAGTTAACTTGCTGCCGATGTTACACTCTCCGGACAGTCAGCCGGACAAGGGGGTGAATTGTCTGGATCAAAAAGCCAGGCGGCGGGTCGTACCGTATTAATCCCGTACGGCTGTGGCTCTAGGCACATGGTGTAGGAGGGGGTGGGGTGGGCAGGTGGTATCAAGAGAGAGGGGAGCGTTGGGAGGGACTGCCTTGGGGATAAGGAGGATGCGGAGGGGCCTATACCGTACACTACAGCACAGGAATTACCATTAATTTTAGAACAATTCATCACAGTCCAAAACAAAAGAAATAATTATGTAATAACAAATATACAAGTTTCCTAAAAACAATTTTGCACAGGCTGAAGTTTGCTTAAAAAATATTGTGAGTTTTTCCGCCTGGTGGCCTACGTAACGTGCCTGCCTGCCCCAAATGTGCTCTCGTCCCTCGTGTTATACCACAGTGCCGCACCATTAGTGAAATATTTTTTTAAATAACTCTTTTTATTTTCATAGTAACTTTGAACATTTTTAGCCAAGACTATGTCTGGTAGCAGCATCAATCGTTCTGGAGATGTTAAAAGGACGAAGGTTACCCTAACAATTAAAGACAAGTTACGTGTTATACAACTTTGTGAAAATGGCCGGTCGACTTCAAGTGTTGCCAAGGAATTTAATATAGGTACTAGTACTGTTTCTGATATAAGGAAACAAAAAGAGCAATACCTGAAATACATTTCAACCAGTGAGAGTGAAGGTGCAAGCACTAGCAGAGGGTGTGGTAGAAGAACTTTGAAACCTTTGACGCATGTACAGTTGGATGAGGCTGTGTAGAAGTGGTTTGCTCAGCACCGCACAGCTGGTGTTACAATTCACAGCCCAGAAATACAAAATACTGCAAGCAGGTTTGCAGAAAGCCTTGGAATAAAGGATTTCCAAGCTAGTGAAGGGTGGGTTGCAAGGTTCAAAGGGAGGCACAATATTGTGAACAGGAAAATTGTTGGTGAAAAATTGAGTGCAGATACAAGCAGTGTAGAACCATTTAAACATAAATTAAGAACATCCATTTTGTCAAATAATTTATATTCTTATCAAATTTATAATACTGATGAAACTGGGCTGTATTGGAAGAGTTTACCAGAAAAAACCAGCGTTGAATGTAATGAAACGCCATTTTCTGGGTGAGCCCCAGAGGCTTCCTGGAGCTTATCGGGCTAATGTGTTATATTAGACCGGGACATTAGCTAAGGAGTTCAGACCTACCTGGGACCAGCACCAGAACCTGGCCCCTTCAGAGAGGTTTCAGGGAGCAATGGCCCTGGAAAACCCCTTTGTGGTTGGGGTTTTCCTTATCTGCCATCGACCGGGGTTAGGCACCCAGAAAAGTAGGCATAACAAAACAAACCCCACATGGTAAAAAACTAAAACACAAAAACGAACAGAGGTAGAAACTCCCTACAATCACAAGGAAACAAGGAAACAAGCAAACATCACACTTTACTGCCGCGCTGATCGTCCGCGCAGCCCTCCCTGCCCCGAGAGGGGGAGGGGGAGCCCCGGACCTACCACGCCGGCTGCCAAGCTTCAGTTCGGAAGCTAAGCTTCAACTAACGCAAAAAAAATGCCGACCGGTGGGAGGGAGGGTTGCCAGGGAGCCTCCAGGGCTCACACAGAAAATGGCGTTTCATTACATTCAACTCTGGTTTTCTGTAGGGAGCCCCTACGACTCCCTGGAGCTTCATACCCAAAGAGAAGGAAAAGAAAGGGCTAACCCGGGAGGCGGCTGCCACAAACTCTGCAACACGAAGCCGAGACAACAGGTTGCAACCTGCGACCCAAGGCAACAAGAACGCACAGGAGCAGACGTGCATAAAGAATGGGGGGCCAAGAACCTGTGCGACCCTCAAATCCCTGCGCCCGAAATGAGCCCTAGACGTCACCAACACAGCAGCAAAAGCTGCAAACGTCTGAACAGCACGGGCGCAAAGACAGACCGCAGGCTGGAAGAATGAAAAACTCTGCGGACGACCTGGGATACCCGAGCCCTGAAAACATGGAACGAGGGGAACCGGATCAACCACAGCGCATCCCCAGACATGGTACACAGGCAACAGCAAAAAGCACAATCGGACACACAGGACGCACCCTCGGCTAAACCAATCAAGCATCAATAACCCGAGAACCCCTCCGGAAAGCAGCAGTCTCGACCGTCGCTAGGACAGAGAAAGGCTGCACACATACAAATCTACCACCAGTACCAAAGAGCTTAAACCTGAACCGAAGGAGCTACCACAAACTGAAGAGAAGATAAGAAGGCACCCTGATCAAGGACCAGGACGGCTCAGGCGACGCATGAGTAGGCCGGAGGTGAAACAAAACACGAGAAAGCGTACGAAACGTCATACTGTCGCCAAGACGAAGCTCGCAGGTGGGACACCGTCAACAAAGCCACCTGAACACCACAGAGATGGTGATACCCGCGTCAAAATAACAGACGCGAAGAGCCGAGGAGAAGGCCGAACCAGTCACGTACAGGACCGTTTCGACCTGCCGAAAGAGGCAGAGCCACGGGAAAACGCCCTGGGTTCAGACACTTATGAAGCAGCGTCTGAAAACAAGGCTGGGCCGGCCACCAAGGAACCATAAGGACTGCTCTCGTGGGAATGGGCTGCAACCGAGTCAGAACCTGAAGCAACAGCTGGACCGGGAGAAAAGGAACAGGTACCCCCACCTCGACCAGTCCTGCCGAAAAGCATCCACTGTGAATGTCTCACTGGTGGGTAAGGGTGCCACATAAAATGGGCAATGCCTAGACCACGCTAACTCGAAGACGTCCATGGCCAGGAGTCCATACGTCCGACAGAGCCAACAAAACGAGTCGGCGACGACTGGCCAATCCGCGAACAGAGGAATGAACTGAGACAGCTGTCCGCCAGGACGCAGGATACACCCTGGACATGAACCTCACGGTTAGGCAAACCCCGAGAATTCAGCAAACGAGCCACTATGGAACCAACCCCAAAGGTCAACACCTAAGAGAAACCTTGTGGTTCCGGCAAGAACCGCCAGAGAACAGTCCGAATGGAGCTGAATGGTAGAGCACCGAGTGACCCAAACCCTCCAAAGCGCAAACCAGACAGCCACGAACTCCCAAACCGTGCTGTGAGCCCGACGGACGGACAGACTCCACCATCCCTGGCTGACCTGGTGAGCACTGGTCACAAAGCCCCAGCCGTGAGATGACCCGTCCATGAACACATCGAGCGAAGGCTCGGGGAGGTGCCAAGGGACGGAACCCCGAAAACCCCAAAGAGGAAGCTGGTGACACAGCACCAACACAAGATCCCTGGAGGAACGAACCCAACGAATGCAAGAAGCGGAAGGGGTCTCCGAAGGAACCAAACAGACGCCGAAGCCAAACCCAACCCCGCGAGCAGACCAGCACGTCGAAGTTCAGACTCCCGCACAACTGCTCAAGCAACCGCTGAGCAACCTGGGACCCCCTCATGTACAGCCGAAGGCAGGACCACAGCCGCAGTAACACTTCTGGAGGGAAAGACAACGAGTGGCCCAATAGCCCTAAACAAGCCCCAGGTCCGAACCCGGAACAGAAACAGATGGAATGGCCTCCAGATCACCAGGAAACCAAACCCGGCGATCTGGAAAGAACCACACCCCTGGTGAGCAGACAAGTGGACTGACTGGGAGCCCACACCAGCCAGTCGTCGAGGTAGGCCAGACACCGAATCTCAAGCAGACTCAGACAGGGCACTAAGATCCGGTAAAGATGCAAAAAACCAGCGTTGAATGTAATGAAACGCCATTTTCTGGGTGAGACCCGGAGGCTCCCCGGAGCTATCCCAGGCTGATATGCTAATGTCAGACTTTGGCATCAGTCATGTGTATGGAGTTCTTAGGCCTACCGGGGACCACGGCCAGAACCGGGCCCCCTCAGAGAGGCAAGGGGAGCAATGGCCTATAGAAGCCCCCGTGTGGTTGGAAGCATTCTATGTCTGCCATCGACCGGAACAAGCACCCAGAAAGGTAAGCGCCTCAAAACAAACCCCTATTCTGGTTAAAATTGCTACCAAAAACCAAACTAGTGGATAGAACTCCCCAACCGAAAACAAGCAAACTAGTGTGACGTCACACACCGCCGCGCCGCTGTCTGCGCAGCTCCCCCCTCCCCAGGAGGGGGAAGGGGGAGCCCCAGATCCCCCGCGCCGGCTACCCACACCTCAGTTCTTGAGGCTGGATGTCAAAAACGCGAAAAACCGCCGACCGGAGGGAGGGAGGGATGCCGGGGAGCCTCCGGGACTCACCCAGAAAATGGTGTTTCATTACATTCAACGCTGGTTTTCTGGGGGGAGCCCCGTCGGCTCCCCGGAGCTAACTACCCACAGACAGAAAAAA